GGTTCACTTGGTGGAAACCGCTGTTAGTGAACCACGTGTGATTTCGCAGTTCGAGTCACGGTGATGATGTTAAAGGCGTCCACATTGCGATGTGGAAACACATATGACAAATGTATAACCCTCTCTGAGTGACAAGTGGTTTTGACGAATTGAAGCCAGTGTTTGAGTTTTTTATTAATATTTGTTGTTCAAATTCGTGTACTGGAATCCCGTGACGTCATCATTGAAGCGTGTCGAATTTGTTTTGTATCAATGATTTAATCAAATACTTACACTAACTTGAATGCTAATTTGTAATCACAATAATTTGTCGACGGCCGTTAAAGGGCGGTGGTTGTCGCGCCGCGCATGTGCGACATTTGTGTTGATAAACATTGATTTTCCAACAATGGAAATCGTGAGTACGAGTTTTGATCCCGGCGCAATGTGCACTAATTACCACCGGCGACTTCTTCGATACCTTCCAATCACCAAAGAAATTATCTAGTTACAACTATGCAACGTCTCAGTTTGCACAACAGTCAAAGTCACCATCTTAGTTCATATGAGTCCCATATCTCGCGCGTGCGTGGCGAGACGACCACCGCCCTCTAAACGTCGATAAATGTTTACAAGCCCACTGCCTGGTGCGTATATAAGAAGGGGCAGAATATCAGAGCTGATGTTGTATGTAATTCCAAATTCCATATGTATGCACGTTTAACAACCATTTTCGTACACTTACATGAGTGACATGTGTCACATTCACTGACTACGGTGTGTAAGCACACACGACCGTGGTAGCTTTCTCATTTCCGAATTATACATTATTCATTATTAGGCCAGACTGTTTTTATTCCTTGTTTCTCGAGTTTTTATAAGTCAATTTTTTTGAGGAGGGCGGGAAAAAATAAAATTAGTTCTTTGTTTCCATTAGATTTGTGTGATTCCCAAAGAATTGTAAGTGAGATCATTGATCGGAGAGAAAAAATAAAATAAAATGTTATTCCATGTATAACCTGGTTGGCAATGTCGCCAATTGTGGCACAAGTATAATTTTTTGACGACAGAGTTCCACGGCGTGTCACCACAAACCACGCCGCCGCCATGTTCGCCTAGTAGTCTCAAGCAGCACGCAGGGAGGTCAATACCCAGTATTCACTGTCAACCAACGCGCATAAAGTATAGATCAGCGCTAGACTTCGGTACTTTGATCATGATACTCCCATGAGAATGCAACTTGGATTTGTTAGGCGGTGGGCGGAAACAAATATTAAAGATCGAAGATTAAAATATTTTTTTAGCAATTTTTTGCACTTACAAGTCAGCGGGCGCGAGAAATTACGCTGAATAAACTTTTATTTCATTTTCGGCTCCTGTTTATTCGGCGGGTTCGCGAAACAAGGGATAATAAAAGTCTGGCTTTAGTAGTATCATTTATTCAGTCAAAACAGAAAGATAAACATAAACAAAATGCAGAAGAGTAAAAACATTGGCACGTTAAAGATATCGGGAAACACATACCACAGTAGCTCGAACGCTCGAATCTGTAAAACTGCGGAAAACACTATTCAACAGCTACAAAACTCTTCGATTACGGAATAAAAATTTTGACCTATAATCCAAAAACCAATTCCAAATTCTAGGAAATTTATGACCAAAAATGTTATCTAAAACTGCTTCATAATTTTTTAAGTGAATAAATTTTAAATTTGATCTCTGCGAGGTTCAAAGAAAGCCCAACCAAGTTTCTTCAGCCAATAGGGTTGTTCGTTTCTCTAAACCTTCAGTACCTTGCGCACCCCAAATTCGTGCCCAATCGCGGCATCGTAAAAATTGTATATCACATAACACACTCGTTAGCCTTTTGAGTTTTCTGTATTTTATCAATGTAAGCTCGAATACACTTCATTTGCCCCTTTTGACATATAATCAATAATTTTACAGCCAATCAGTAGAAGGCGTGACGAATAGCGGCCACCAAATATGAACCACGAATATTCGATGTTACGTATCACGTGACACTATTTACCCCTTTGACCGCTTTGTTGTTTGCATCGCATAGAAACGCCAGCGATACTTATTCTATCGGGGAATTACCATTAACACTCGGGGGTAAAATAATGCAGAGAAATTTCATTAAACAAAATATTAAAAAAATAACAGGAATTTTATAAAAAAACAAAAAACAGTATCATCATGAAAAAATACCCAGCTCGAAATTAAAGAACAAAGTAAATTACATTTTTTCACTATGCCGCCCAAACTTTCTGTTGGTGAAACCCATAATATTTTTATAAGGTCAACATACATTCCCTGCTTCTTATTTCCTGTATATCCTTCATATTTACTGCAAGATCGATCATTCAATTCAATTGTTATTTCGACTGAAACGACTTCCATGCCATGTTGAACTAACCGTCATAGTAATGTGTAAGTGGGAGGTGAGAGAGGAACGGAGATATATATCCGGGGGTCATCTCCCGGGTCAACTCCACCTTTAGTACTGTATCGTAGCAACCATTAAATATGTTTACTTTTTTTTTTAGAAACATGCAATATTAAAGTGTAAAATAACCGCTGAAAATGGTGTATACTTAGGATAGAAGTGGAAAATAAGGATTTCATTGATAGTCAGGTTAATACAGATAGTTTTTATATATATTCGAGAACAATCAGAGTTTATGGTGAGGCGTTATCGGGTTGCGTTTTGGTCCCGGACTCCGTCACCGAGGGTACAGAAACAGAAACCCCGTCCCGGACTCCGTCACCGAGAGTACAGAAACAGAAACCCCGTCCCGGACTCCGTCACCGAGGGTACAGAAACAGAAACCCCGCCTCGGACTCCGACACCGAGGGTACAGAAACAGAAACCCCGTCCCGGACTCCGTCACCGAGAGTACAGAAACAGAAACCTCGCCCCGGACTCCATCACCGAGGGTACAGAAACAGAAACCCCGTCCCGGACTCCGCCACCGAGGGTACAGAAACAGAAACCCCGTTTCCGGACTCCGTCATCGAGGGTACAGAAACAGAAACCCCGCCTCGGACTCCGACACCGAAGGTACAGAAACAGAAACCCCGTCCCGGACTCCGTCACCGAGGGTACAGAAACAGAAACCCCGTCCCGAACTCCGTCATCGAGAATACAGAAACAGAAACCCCGTCCCGGACTCCGTCGCCGAAGATACAGAAACAGAAACCCTGTCCCAGACTCCGTCACCGAGGGTACAGAAACAGAAACCCCGTTCCGGACTCCGTCACCGAGGGTACAGAAACAGAAACCACGTCCCGGACTCCGTCACCGAGGGTACAGAAACAGAAACCCCGTTGGATAAGACTCGCAGGGCTAAAGTATGTATGCTGTGATATGACAATAAATACATGGCCATGATTGGTCACTCATATGCCCATCTTAGTGCACATCATCTATTTATTATTATTAAGGGTGAATTATGCCTTATTTGATCTTAAATATTCTTGATCCTCATGCGATGCCGCGCTTGGTCACGGATTTTCATCATGAGATTCGAGTCACATAGTCCACGGTTATATCAGGGGAAAAATCTTCTACTCTCGGGTTCTCCACACGTGTCAGGGGGGAATCTCGTCTCCGAGTCGTCTCTATATCTCGTCCCCTTGAGGTGCGGGATCGGAAAGTCACTTTAACTTTACAGTCAAATGAGACACACACAACGGAATACGTTTCAGCTCTCGTCTTAGTCGGTCAATCGAGCACTCTATCAGACACAGCGCCCTGGGGAAAAATCCCCAAGACTATCGCAAGGCTGAACCAAGACTCTCTTAGACTGCGTCAACACTCGCCCCAAGGCTCTCCAGGACTGCACTCGACTCTCCAGGACTGCGTCTATCGTGGAGTATTCGCCAAGACCAACTCAAACTCTCTTTATTCATTTTCAAAACTCTAACCAATTACAAAACAGTAAAAAGACTCTAGGGCGTAACCTTCAATCATAAAGCCAATCACACTAAGCACTGAATACGTCATATCTTTTGATTAATCGTTCACTACATTAATAACTATGGATGCCAACTGTCAGAATTAATAGAATAGCGACGGTTATCTCGTAATTAGTTCCAAATCACTGAGCCAAGTTCCGTCCAAAACTTCAAATAGGCCTAAACGATGACAGACATAACACAGCAATTCAGCTAATAATCAGCTAATTAAGTCGGTCAACAGATACGCAAAAACAAATTCATGACAGTTACTACAATATTTTTTAGTAACCGGCCGTGCGTGGTCTCACGATGATGTTACGATGTAAACTTTACACATACTGCATAACCGTAACGATCTCACTTTACTATGTTACTTTAATTGTTTCCAAATAATACCTGAACATAGGCCACGTTGTGGATCGTGTTCTTGATTAATACATTTCTAAGTTGTTTGAAAATTATCGAAGTCTAACTTAAAATGAGGTTACCTGCTCATTGGTATTCAATGATAAGTCAGCAGTGGACATAATATTTACCAGAAAGCATAGTTAAACAAAGAAAAGTTTGGAAAAACAAATAAACCGACTAACTGACTTTTGGGAAATTTTTGCGTTTTTCAATTATACGAAATGTCCGCATCCCTAAATAAGTTGTTTCATAGTCAAGGCACTATATTGTAGCGACATTATTTTTGTAATTGTAAAAAAATACGCGACTCGGTGTCAAAAAATTATTTAAAGTTTGAAACCAAATTTGATTAGAACATTAAAATATTGTTTCAACTATCGATCCCTGGCAACCCGGAACCTTTTAATAAAATGTGTGCAATGCAATCTCGCTGTTCTGTTTAAATACCTTACCAAATTCGTCAATGACAAGTAGACCAATAATAAGTTTTTATTTCACTCTAGCAATAATGGCCACTTTCTCTGTGTCGAGATGACTCCATTATAACGCGTTGTTGCTATGGACGCTTTTGCGACAAGTCTGGACATTGGTACGGAGTTCGTAGGTCACCCCGTTGAATATCTCGAATGCAATTCCATTGATTTACAAGTCCTTTTGTCGTTTCATCTGACCCTTGACCCACTCAGTATCTGCCTGAAAGGCAAGAGTGCCTTCGTGAAATGAGACATTAGCAACCACTGGACGCTTTAAATAGGAGCGGTGTATACACTCATGGTCGCTGCGTCGTCGCCGTGTGGTGTTAAATAACATCTGTCCCGCTGGTACACAGGTACGTAACTATCGGTGTGGAGTGAAAACAGCTTTATCTTGGTGACTTTGAAAGGCATAAACTCCGATCCGTTGTTGTGCGGATACTAAACGGAGGTACTGTACAGCTGGTTGACGACCCGTATTGGCGTTCAATAACACAGCGTATCGTCGGTGTGTCATGTAACGATTGTACGTAGATATACCGAGCACGCCTGGACTAAGCATAATTGGTGAGATTGGTCAGTATATCGATCACATGTATTTCTCGAAATCGCCGTTGCCACCTGAAATGCGTCTTGGCGCTTGGAACACATACTTTATTGGCTGGCGATCGAGACGCCTACTTGAGTACAGTGTGAGGCCTTCTAGTGAAATCGGACATGGTTCCGTGACTCGGTATCGAAGGAAATACAGAACATGTCGCGCGGGTCACGAAACGTGCATTTGAAATATCCAGTGTCCATTATTTCGTAAATCTGCGCGTTGAAATTTTGATAAACAGTTTTGTGTATGATGACAATAGTCGTGGCAGTACACAACGCCATTGTTTTCTACAACGGCGTTGTATTGTTGATTTTATATTATAAACGACGACTTACTTTTACTACTGTCTACAAGAGGTGAATCGACAACGTACTTAACATTCTAAATCCTTGCTAGAAGTATGGATTAGTTTAATCTTTTTTTTACTCTGTTTCAGTTTGTTTTGAGTAGGGCCACGGATTTTTTCCAAATTTATTTCGGCACACCTGCTGATACTAATGAGGTAGATTATATATAGCGGGTATATTTTCTTGCTGTTGTATGTTCACAGTTCCTCTATACTGTGATTAAAAAATATCACACTGTTTAACGCAGGGTTATTTATTTAATTAATCAGTATGTGCGAAAGTTTAACAGTTGTTAAAACAATTCATAGATTTAGGATGGATTTTCACCTGTGTTTGTTATTCACGCCCAAAGTAGACTAAATCGGTGTAAATATTATATCCGGCTTCGAATATACATTGTTCATTGTACGAGTCAATAAAAATCACACGATGCGCGTTTCTTTTCACTCATTTTATTCTTTTCTTTGCAGCGAACAAAACATTTTGTTTTCTTAATCCCGTCTCAGTTTTCTTTCAAACATTTTTTTAACGAGAGACTGTTGTTAACTCGCTTGGATAATTTGACCCAATGAATATCATACGATCAATAACAGTTACGCACTAAATAGAAACGCGCATTGGACGACTGCGTCGTCAAGACAGGTCAATAATCCGTCAACATTGCCGGCAGCTGTAAAATAATGGACGTGACATGTAACATTTCATTCTAGATATGTTATCGATTTCAACACATACTGCTTGCTTGGTGAAGTCACCTTATTGATTTCATGTACAATTAGTGTTTGGATGTCTGCCAGTTGTGTATGTGTTGTTTACTTATACAAGTATAGTTATGTGTGGGCGTTACATATCAA